CCTTGGGGATTCGTATCGAGTATTCCCTCGTCATACCGCGACGATAGCGGTGGCGCATCGCGCGGCGAGCGAAACGGATTCGAACGTTCAGAGAACGGATGCGGTGTCCGCAGGTCTCTTCTTGTTGGAGATCGCGCCGTTGAGCGGCTAGACCTCACAGAGGAAGCTGGGGAAGACGCGGCACCAGCGTGCGACCTCGGAGAGGTTGGGTTGGAGTGATCCTCACTACCCATGGGCTCGTCGTAATCGACTTCGCCCTCTTCGAGTTCCGAGAACAGACCATCGTTCCCTCTGGGCGGCGCCCGCGGCTCTGACGAGCTTTGAGCTTTGCTCTCTTCTTGTTGACGGCTCATGGAGCGTTGACCGTGTCGACGGCGATACTCTTGGTGGTACTCCGCCACCGAAAGAGACGAAGATGCTCTTGGAGCAGTTGCGGAGCGCAGTTGGGGGTCTGGGACCGACGAGGCAGGGGCGGCGCGACGCGCTGGAGACGTTGAGCCGTGGGCCGGAGTGGGAGTGCCAGGCATCAAGGATGCGAACGCGTTTGTGAGCTCGTGGAGCTGCAGAACGCACAGGTGAGGTCTAGTGACCTCCGTCGTCTTGACAAGACGTGACCTCGCTGAGGAAAGTTCGAGAACGGAATGTTCTCATCTTAGTGAGGGAGAGTGTAACGGGGTTACATGGTGTGGAACACACAGGGGTACGAAGTACCCGGCGAGTTAACAAACTCTCAGTACATAAGTTGGAGAGTTAACAAGGTCTCTCAGTACGTTGGCTGAAAGCCACACGTTATGCATTTGATTAGGTTTAACTATGCTAGATAGTTAAAGAGATACATTTACCCCTAGGCGGCTTGGCCGCAATAATAGTAAATAAATCACTTCTGGTTTTGAAGCATAAAAGTTAAGGTGTTAACTTTGAGCCCTGGTCTTGGGCTGTAAGTGTCCTTTGGATAAGGAACTTAGTATTAGTGACTCTTTGAGTCGAACGTCTTCCTCTGACGCTAAAGCTACGGCAGCCCCGCTGCAGATGCTGCTGGTGATATCGAAGTTGAAACAGGATCTGACGAAAAATCTTTCGTGGTTGGTGTGACTTCAAAAAGGCTTCTATCTAGGTTGGATCGCCCGGAGGATTCATTTGTTTTTGTACGTGGATGCTACATTTAAGGTGGCTTAAGTGGAATACCCAGTACTGGTTTGTGCAATGTCAGATCGATGTCGTTCATTTCACCTAGTGGCGTTGTTCGTAACTTCTCAGCGTTTGGAACCCCAATACACGGACATGCTAAATGCACTGCGTTCGGTGTACTTCCGTGTTATGCAAAAGGATCTTACTCGACGCAGCTGCCCATGCAATTACTTCTTAAAGTTCGTGTGTTGCATACATCTTCTTCACGCATTGAAAGTCTCTCGCGCTGCTGAACCGGTTGGAAAAGCTACATTGGTCTACCGAGGCACGTCTAAGAAACGGCAACGGGAAACCCAAACAACTGAGCCCCATGTACCTGTGGGAAGACCTCGCACCAACGTTTTGCTCTTGATATGGAGTAGAAGTGCTGTTCGGCCTTGCTCACAGTGATAAGGACTGATAGTGCCGTGAAAGGTGCTCTATCCAACGCTTCATACGTCAGAGTAAACTCTCAATACACGGGTTTTCTTTTTAAAGCTTCTCAGATTGCAGGTTGAAGTAAAATGGCTCGGTGCTGCATCCCCTGTCAAACCAAGCCGCCGAGCTTAGCGCCAGAACATGGAAACGATTTATTTGCAATAAAGGTTGCTTTCGGCGCTACTCATGGTCAATTCGTGCTTTCCATCGTACTTTAATGGCACCTACGACATTGCAACACGGTGATCTTGAGCCCAGGATACACGGCTTTTTGTCCTAGTCACGGCAGTTGGCAGCACCACACACGCAGTCGAACCACGGGTCCACGTAGTCGACAGTCACCTCTTCTCCCTCTTCAATCGTGCGCTTGGCCACCACCACCACGGCCACGTTTTCGCGGTTGCGTAGCTCCACAAAGCGGCACGCTGCGTCGCACGAGTGGTTCAGCATTCGCGTTATACCACCACAGCTCGTCGCATCAATGTAGACTTTCTTGCCTCGAGTGCTCTTGAGCTGAAGCTCCAACGCGTAGTCGCAGGTCTGCTCTTCATCTGCTGCGAAGTTATGCGTAGTCAGAACCCCGGTGTAGTTGCCGATGATGAACCCTGCGTGGATAGTAGCTGTAGCTTTAGCGCCGATTCCAGTTCCCTTGCACACCGTCAGCTCCAAATCCTTGCACTCGTACAGACTGTTTAAGCAATTTCCTTCGCGGTTGCAGTTGGCAGCCGTGCAGTAGTAACTGGTGTCGGCATTAAGACAATCGTCTCTGAAGCAGTCATAAGCGCACTTGCACTTATCTGTAGGACCCGTGTCTGGAAATTTAATCTTCTCTGGGTTTCGAGACACACTCACCTTGTCCACACCCATCGGCCAGAGGTCATCGCCGTCGTCGTCAATAACGATTACCTCGGGTTTACGAGGAGCCGCTTCATGACGAAGCACAGCATTGCGCCGCGCAGACAGCGCCTCACGAACTCCTGGCAGCCGCAGAAAAACTGTTCATGTACATCGCCTTCATTTTGCCGACATTG